CAGAGATTGTGTTGAGCAAAAGTAATGTTGAAGAATCATGCAAAGAGCCTGTGAATATTTTATTGACTGCCATGACAGCATCTGTCAGCGAAGTGTTCTCCGCTGACAAAAAAACTGCTACGGAGTGTGTATAACTGCATACAAATACTCTATGAAGTAATTCATATGACTAATCACCCGTGTCTAACGTTCCTGTGGGAAGATTAACGCAACTGTAGAGGTTTGTTTGCTGCAAGTGAGGACGCAAACAAATAACATACTGTGAATATAGAATTAAGTCATCAAAAATCCACACACTAAAATTGAATTGATTTATATTTTTTAGGTGCAACAACTTTGAATTACTAATGAAAAAATGATTATATGGAATACTAGCATTACAATAGACTACAGAAGCTGGTGTTCCGGGAGAAACCCTCTCCACACAGGAAGATAACTCAGTGTAGTAAGGCCATCTGTCTGAACCAATGACCTCGCTGTTGTTGTGAAGTGCACAACTGTGACGCCACGCTTACCAGTGACTGGGTGTCCCCAAGGCAGCAAATGTAGCGTTTTATATGCATCTAAAAATAAAACAGAAACAGAAACCAGCGTATCTGGAGCTGATGTAACCGCTGTTACTGACTCTCTGGTTTCATGTGTGCTACATGCCCAAATGCTGCATTATTTACACCAATTCAGGAAGTAGTACATAATTTATTTCACCCGTGGAAATGGAACATCTGAAGAATCCGCTGCAGGTCCCAAAACATGTCCCAGTAGGAGAAAGCTAATGCAAAGAAGTTCGATTTCCCACACATTGATTTAATATAAATGATGGCCGTGGATGAGCACAACTTAAAGCAAATATTCATTCTCATAAGAATATTTGTATTCAAATATTATCTGACTGGCTTATGATACAGTGGTAAAACAAAGCATTGCTGTATAAATATGTAAAATATATATATATTATATTATAGTGGGATATTTAGATGAAGTCATCCTTGCATATTTCTGATTATGTTTTGTAAACGCTGAATGAAGATCAGATAAACTGCTCCTGCTCTGTGTTCTCCACCGACGATGAGGAGATTGTGTTATAGTTATACCCCGTGGACTGAGTGTCAGTGCAAAATTGCCAATTTCACGGACACTTCCCTTCTGATTTTTACAATAGGCCATGACTCAACTCGCCCATTTCAGCAAAACAATAATGATGTGTCAACAAAAGCTGAATGGAACTAAAAGAGACTTTAATATCTGAATTGTCTAAGATCTATATTTTAAAAAGGAATATGAGAAAATGATTAATACTTAACTTAACTTAAGAACTTAACTTAAGAACTTCAGGTCATGAAGTAACGATGAGCTTCAACCGTATGGTTGTTCAGCGTGAATAATCAGAATTATGCATTTGGTTTCTGTTTCATCAACATCACTGTTTCAAAACGATCATTGAGGATCAAGTAGACTATTTATAGCATATATTTTAAGAAAAAAAAAATATATAGACTTATTGCCAAAATGAAGTTGAGGACAAGTACTGAAAATGTTTAGTAGTAGTAGTTGTTGTAGAAGTAGTAGGTATAGTAGTAGTAGTAGTAGTATTAGCAAAAAGGGAAGGTGCAGTAAAAGGAAAAGAAGAAGAAATAGAAGGAGAATAAGATAACAAGATATAAAATAAATTTTCATGCTAATGTTGCTAGTAATTTGGCAAAGCTACAATCCATTAAACAGGTAAGCAGGTTTATAGGAAACAACTTCCTGTGGGAAATAATTTTATAATGCATATTTCATGCCTTTCCAATGGTGATTTTTGTTGTGTGTGTATTGTAAGATAAATCCCACAATGCACGGCTTAGCAGAAGTGCCCGGGGTGCAGGTGAGAAACTACTTTGAAATTCTGTCAGGTATTCAGTCAATTAATCCTAAACTAAAAACCACCGGTGGAAAATAAGCAGAGCTGTGGTTTGCTTTGCCTGACAGTTTGTCCCTTCCTGTCATGTCAGCAGCTGGGTTTGGTTTGACTGAATACATTATCTCTGCAGCGTGAATGGTGCTGATTCTCAGTGATACTCACTGGGAGTTTAAGAAGCTTTGGAGTCACAGGTTTGAAGGGCTGCTGTTTCACTGCCTCTGAGGCTGTGTGTGAGCGGAGGAGGAGACCAGGTTTAGCTGTAGTTGTAGGGACAACTTCTGTCGAAATACTTTCTGTCCTCCACTGAGAGATTGAGTTTGGAGTTAGGATTAGGATTAAGGCACGGTCTAGGTGAGGATTAAGGATTAAGACCAGGTATACTTTGGAATGATCAAATTTGTGGTTAAAGTGTTAGGGTCATTTGTCCTTTGTGCGCTGTTCCTTTTCTTAGGATTTAATTTCTAAAGACAAATATGCTCGGAAGATTAACACTGAGAATCAGAAAACTGGGATTTGTTTCTCTTGTACACACAGATATTTGCATAATTTGTAAAATTTATATCCATACAAGAAAAACTGTACTAAAAAAAACTGCATAATTTCTTATGCATATAAATAATAAATACATTTTATAGTGTTAGTATAAACATCATTATAATCCATATACACAGTGCTGTACATACTATATATTTATATGTATGTAAATATGTAAATATATGTACGTGGGTATGTAGAAAGAGAGAGGGAGAGAGAGAGAAGAGTATTTCAGTGAAGAAAATTACAGAAAATTCAAAGTATTATCACACCTGGTGTTTACAGGCAAAAATGTCAAGAACACATTACGACCATTTGTAAAGAGAAGTCAAGGACAAAACAGTCAACGTTTCTCTGAAATTCATTTTTCAATAAAAAAGTAGATTTCATGGAGGGATTTTTTAGGTTTCTGAAAGCTGTAGGAAAAGCAAGTCTGAACCTGATTCATCACCAGTGACAGAAAGAAAAGATAAGAACCAGTAATGACCTGTTTCAGCATATATACAGCTTCAAAAGAAGCCCTGGAAAGATTCACCAAGGGCCTGGCTCAGAACCTGGCAGCTGAGAAGGAAACCTGAAAGACGTCTTACAGAGCACGGCTAAGAGTACTGGAGGTGATTCAGAGGAGACGCAGCCAAGAAATCAGACTTCAGGAAAACAACAGGTTTCAAAGGGATTGTGTTCTTTGGTTCAACGACCTTTCCTTCTCTACCGCAGGAAAACACTTTGGTTTGGAGTTAAAGTTATTCTGGGATTGTAACAAATATTCCTCAGTATTAAAGTTTACTTTCTTTACGTATCATATTAGAATATCATGAATATGAGTCTTATATATATACATATATATACATTTTTTTGGGTAAGCTGAATAATTAAAAAATGGTTTATATTTCCTTATTTCATTAATCATTTAAAATAAATTGAATTTACTTGTGCGTTTAGGAGAATTCACCAATCAGGTCACTGAATTGAAATATATCACCTAGGAACATTCACTGATGACAAGCTGAACTTTCAGGTCAGTTCTTTACAAGAGGACTAGACAGTGTTGGTATCTCCCAAAAAGACACTTTTCTTACTAATTAATCAGAATCATAACCAAAAAAAATGAAACTATGAAATGACACCATTAATATATTCATATTTTTTTCAAACACACATATTGTAGTGGTATTACTTCTACAGAACAGCAGCTAAAACCTCCTGCAGCAAACAGAACTTGCAAACTTAGTTAGTCCAATGCGCTTTCCGTAGTCCAAAAGTCTGTTTATGGTTGCTTAGCAACGCTCCCTAACAACGCAGCACACACCGCAGACTGATGTAAACACAGCAGATGGAATACTTTCCAAGTCCGACATTATAATTGATAATATTTTACATTTAGATATCTGAGCGTAGACGAGTGTTGTACAGGACATGGAGACTGACGTTCGGTGTTTTCTAACCCAGGCTACAGAGCAACAAGGTGCAGTAGTTCCTGGTACAATCAGAGTTTTGTATAATGTTCAAAGATAATCCTTACCTGTTGTTTTCTGACAGACTGCACGGCTCTACAGTCCGCCTACCGTTTAATCAGAGGTGGGAAGGCAGCGGGACACAGCGGACGAACACCACGCGTTTCCCCACGACTGTACGTCCTGTGTGCGGAAACAGCCCTGCAGGTGAAAACCATCGTCTAATCAAAGCCCTGCTCCTTGCCCGTGTCCCCGTTTTACTTCAAGGACCTTTATAATGTTAGACTTTTAGTTTACGTCTCTTTTTGTCAGTCTGTGCTACGTTTGGTGTCCACTTTTAGTGAATTTAAAATAAATAAACAAAAAAATAAAATTATTTTATTATTTAAGTGTAAAACGTAAGACTCAGACTACTTTATTTTTTGGGTTTTATTTTTACATTTAACTGGAAAACACTGTTGTTGCAACAATTTTCCAAGTTTAAAAAAATATATATCTATATATATATCTAATATATTTTAGATATATATATACTAAAACTATAGGCAAAATGTTTAAAGTATATATAGTGTCTGTGTCTATCTACTTTAAACATTTTGCCTGTATTTTTGGTTGTTTTCCTGTTCACACTGTTAAAGTCCAACTCTGAGTCCCTTGTTTTGCATTTTCAGCTGCATTGTTTGGAGATAAGCGAGGAGTGCCTACAGATGTACTTTGGAAACAATCCTCAAAAAGATCAATTTTTGTGTCGAGCTTATCTCTGCCACGGTCAGCTGATGACTCTGTCCGCTGCTGGGACGGTGGTGAGCTGAACAGGAAGTTCTTCCTCAAGGGGAGGGAAACTTGTTTACGTGTTTACAGTCTTATATATGTGTGTATATGTTGGTATAAATATATATATAAGTGTACTTAAATATGTATTATGTGTGTTTTTATGTGCATTTTTTGTCTCCTTTAGGGTGACTTCCCACAGGCTGTGGAATATTTTCTTAAAGCAATTGCCATTTCAAAGCAGGAGCCAAAGTAAGCAACCGTTTGGATGTGCAGCGTACTTAAATAAAATTGTCGCAGATAATTTGATTCATTTTTCAATAAAATGCTCAGTGTGCTGCACCAACATCTGTGAGATTTATTATATGTTTTTTTTTTTCAGAGATAGTGTGTTGTTTGCCCTAAAATTCTTTGATAATGAACTCATTACCTGTCAATATTATGGCTGATGAAAACTCCAAATTATCACCAAAGGGAATACACATCTAATGCAGTACAGCGCTGACCGGTGTACAGCACATTCTCTGGTGGATAAATTAGCTGCACTCACATAACATGTGTACGGAGTTTCTTTAAAGAGTTCTTTGAATTCATAAACATCAGCTATTTTCCTCAGAGGAGCTAATCTGGGGATTTCTCCGGTGGATTACTTGACTATGGTTAATCTCCACACATGAATTATTCAGAGGAGGCTTCCATACAGAGGAGACTCTTGGTCAGACAGAGATGATGTGGCTGTGGTGTGTTCGACATATCAATGTTTCTATCTTTCAGATTCCACTTCATGGTGTTCAACGCCTCAGTGTTGTACTTCCAGACGGTGCGTCCACTCCTGCAGCCAGGGCGCTGCGCCCACCTGGTCCCTTCCCTCACGCAGGTGGTGCAAAGTCTGGAGGAAGTTGCAGACCAGGACCACAGCTGGAGGGCGGAGCTCATGATGCAAGTGACCCCCACAATGCTCATATTTCCCTTTCATGAAAAAAGCGCACCACCGATTCCATCCGGGCTCACGCTGTGTTCATAGAGTTAATTAACGTCAGGTGAATTTATGACCACAGCTTTATGGCACTTCAGTTACTTTACTCAGCCACGAGGGTCAAACATATGTTTGTTTTCAAAGTCTTTTATCATGAACTCTGAAGCTGACATCTTAAAAGCCAATTTTCTTTGTTTCTTTGTTTGTCTCCATGTATATGAGGATGCACAGGTGGTTCCATGGTGTAGCGGTTAGCACACCTGCCTTACACATCTGTGGTATATTCTACTTTGTTTCCGTTTAGGCACCTGATCAGATGTGTTGTGGACTCTGGAAATATTAAGGATGCTAAGGATGTTGGGAAGGTTACAGAAGAATTTGTCAAGTGTCACACTCCACACTTACACCCAAGACTCTTCTCATTACTGGTAAAAGGGAATTTCATGAGAAACAAAATATAACACAATATTTTGTCATTTAACACAATATTTTCGTACATTTTCTATCTGTCGAATGAAGTATTGCTACTATAAATGTACTTGTCTCTGACAAGACTATTTATTTTAAAATACATGGTGTTGTGATAATAATTCACTGTTGCCCTGCTCTCATCGTAGGTGCAGCACAATCTGACAGACCAAGATGTTATTAGTGAAATAACCAGGCAGAACCAGAACCTAGAAGTCACATACAAAATACAGGAATTCAAAAAGTAAGTGAGATTTCTATTTTCTATACATTCACATGAACTACTTTAAAGGAAACAAGCTCCTAATCTTTCAAACAGTAAATCCTTGGTTTATTAGCCTGTGTTGACTGCAGAGACTCACACTGTAAATTTTCCCATTGTGGGACCAAAAAGACACTCAATTATTATTATTGTTATTACAACATTTGCCCTGACCTCCCATCATTATTTGAAGGTTTATATCACAAGGAGCATTCATCATAAAAACTATGTAAAATCAATGAGCGGACTAACAGCAGACGACCTGAGGAAAAAAAATCTAGGAGGGATTCTTTGACCCTCGTTATCCCTTTGTTTTGTGTTCAAATTGACACCACTGACATCACTCACCCACTTCTCGGTTTTACAGCAGATTGGAAGAAATGAATAAGGGAGAGATGAAGACGCTGGATCTGGCCAAGCTTGAAGAAATATTCCATCTTTTGGTGGACACCACAGGAAACCACAGCCCACCCCCCCTCCAACCGGCTGATAGGTCTGTCACCAGCTGTGTCTTAATAAAATTATCATCTACCACAAAAGCTTACCCCTCATTGGTTCCCGACCTCCTTATTAATCTCTTAACACCATTCAAACTCACCAGTATCCAAAGGGTACAGAAGACATCTCGGATTACTGAGCAGAAGGCTTGGACTGGGCTGTGATGTTTGTTATCTGTGATTTGCAGGGTGGCTCTTCTCTTGGAGTTAGCTCTGCTGGCCTTAGAAGCGAAGCATCAGAAAGTAGCTGTCGACTGTTTGAAGGAGCTCAAGTCCAGCAGAGCGGCCGTGAGTGTCCGATTCTCTCCGAAAACCCCGGCCACTGCTTGACGGTGCTATTGTACATACAGCGAGGAAGTGCAGATTCACCCATTAAACCTCTCCCATTAATATCCTCCTAAGCAGAAGCCTGACAATAGGCTGGGTTAATTAGCCGGACTGGTGTCTGTGAGCTATAAGGCTCCATGGTTTTCACACCAGCAATATGCTGTATATGATTTTCCACATTTCCTCTCCTGCAAAGCTATGTTAAAATAAAATGCCACAGCTTTTAAACACAACTTCCCTCAGTACTTGTACAGGAGCGATGTCAACATTTCCACATACAATCACTCTATAACCTGATGATAAAATCTGCCTTTTTTTCTTTCTAGAATTTTGGACAACGCATTCTGATGAAATGTGTCAACAGCCAAATCAACATGCTAAAAAAGGGAGCGAAGATGAATGACTACTCCAGAGCCAGCGTGGAGGTGCTTGATCATACATGAGCTGTCGGCCAAGTGTGCCTGCCAAACGGCTGCAACGCAGGCCGTCGACGCAGCGGCAGCAGCTTTGATTAATCGTTCAGTAATATTTCTAAAATCACGTTCTTTGTCGAAGAGCAGGAACGTTTCTGTTCTTCAGATGCAGGCCATTTATCTCTTTTAGTCTTCATCCTATTAGTTCTCTTTCTACCTCTGACATGAAAAAAAAACTGCAGTATCATTCTGAAAAACACTTAGACCTTATAAACAGAATGCCCGATGTGTACAAGTATTGCGTTGTTATTGCAGTATCCGAGATTCAAACTGTGTTGTTTATACTCCACAGGCTCGTCTGAAAGAGATAGGCAAACTGGATCAGTGGCTGCAGAGTGCGATGAGAGAGGGCGACCCTCAGGCGGTGCAGGCGGTGTGTGCCACACAGTGGAGACTTTGTCTGCCTCTCCTGCAGCACAACCTGAGGAAACGCATCAGGACGCCTATGCTCAGAGTCATCCAAGGACTGGAAGACATCCACAGGTTTTCTCCTGTTACAAAACGTTCCTTACGGCTTGGTTTTACGATTTTTTGTTTGCAGAGTTTTAAACTAATGATATAGTTTTTGGTAATCTAGAAGTTCAATCTAGATGTCAATAAATTAGAATTTAAATACAAGATCTAAATATATATTATATTTATTATAATGGTTATTAGTGAGCTGTTAACTGTAGGCAGACGTTTGTCTGATGATCGTCAGCTTCCTTTTCGCTGCTGCGTTGACTGTGGTGTTATCATTTCATCATTTACAGTTTGTTCCTGGAGATGCGCTGTCAAATCCACTCAGAGATGGCTTTAATTGAAGAGGAGGAGGGGCGCCTGGAGGCATCTCTGACCCACCTTCAAAAAGCCATCAAGTTAGATACCGGCTCACAACGTGAACGTCTGTCACGGGCTTTACATCTCCTGCAGCTCAGAGGAACCCTCAATCAAAACCCCTCCTGCAACACAGATAAAGCTGCAGTGCTGCTGCAACAGGTCCTCAGTATTTGAACTGCATGTCATTTCCAGAACACTCTGTCAAAATGTGAGCTTGTTTTCATGTCAGATTCTACATAACGAGGAATAAAGGTCACTCAAAGGTTTAGTTGTTGAGGCGTTTTCCGGTCCTGAACCAGGGATTTCTAACCTGTTCTAACCACTGTTCCAAGGCAGATTCGTTTTCCATGAGGGATCACCAAGTGTACCCTGGGAATAGTTGTTTTAAATTAAAAATAAATATATAATTTGATTGACAGTTACACCTGTTTAGCCCCAAAGTACACAGTGTGCCTTCTAAGGTGATAAATGTCACATTCATAAATCCACCTTAACAACAGCAGCATTAACAGAGATAACGAGTCCATAATTAACAGCTCCAATTGGGCCATGACTGAGGGTCACTTCAGTTTCCCTCTGCTCATCTTACATCATTACTTCTCCCTGCTACACAGTCAAATGCTGAGCAGACATTTTCATTAACTTCTTCTCTTCAGGTCAAAGACCTGCAGTCTAACGATGAGACAGAGATCCGTCCCGCCCTGGTGACTGTCGGACTCCTTTTGGCCCCGGATGATTTCCAGATTGTACTTGATGGAGACCAAAGTAAGACATTGTTTTGAACACGTGCCTGTTTTTTTTTAAATTGTCTTTTAAATTATTCCTTGTCATGATAATGTTGAGGTCATTTCTCTGACCTAAACATCACAGAAAGGTAGAGACAGCCTTTAAAAAAGCCCACGCCTTTTTAATGAATCTGATGAAGGAGATCCCGTTGGCAAATCACTGACACATTTATTCAACTAATGCAGAGCAGCAGGCAGATTAGATCGACAGATCAGGGAAGTGAATGTTTGGATATTTAATCCTAGGTGATTTAGATGACCTTTGTTCCCAAAAGGCACCTGGAAATCAATGCTTTGCACAAAGTAAGTAGTCAGCATCAGTTCCACTAATGCAGACAGCACACAGATACTAAGACATGTTACCTAAAGTCTTCTGTAACACTTACGGTTGTTTTCACTTCTGGACCCTGAGCTTCTCAGTGGCCATGAATACATGGCCATCACTCAAGTGTTGTCTGAGATTTCCCAGAGACTCACAGTGTGTGTGACAGTGGAGCTCCATCAACACTGTGCAGTGGATCAATGAGCACAAGGGCTAGAGCTCAGGGAGACGCTTTGATCTGAGACTCATTCTTTAGTCCTTGGTCTCCAGCATTAAATGAACAGTCAGCTCTTCTAATGACCCGGGATAGAACTGGCCTCTGACAGCTGGTCAGGCGAGGGTTAAAAGCTCTCCTCCCTGAGGGTTTTTATATGAATCTAAATAAAAACCCTCCATAAGAATAATTTGTCTATTCCTTCTTACCTCCAATATGTTCTGCTGAATTAGTCCTTTAAAAGTATCTAAAATCTGACAATATATTTCTCTTTAAATGTATATATAAAACACAGCATTACTGACAAATATGTGCAGGTCCATTATACTGAAAATTTATATGATAAAAACATTATGAAACTCGTGTTTTTATTGTTTTCCTAAAAAGTCCATGGACAGAATCACAGTGCGGCTCAGCATTGTCTTTCATCTGCCTTGCATCAGCCAAAGGTGCGACACCGTTCAATATAAAAGGAGCTGCGACACACCCCAACCATTGATGTGTTCATCCTTTATACCAGGGGTCTCAGACTCAGTTGAACTCGGGGCCAATACTGCAGTGGTCATTTCATTGAACAGTCACAGGCTATAACATTCAATATTCACTACAGTAAAGGTACACGTGTTAGAGATATTTTAGGACATAAAGTTTTTTGTTTAATATAAGTACTATAAAATATTGTACTGAAAACAGCAAGCAATTTTCTTCATTTTTAAATAACCAAGTCTTACATTTTCATTAATAACTGAATTAAAAAATAATATTGAATTACTATTGACATGTAGGTTTGCAGGCCAAAATGATGCCCCCGGACCAGGGGTTTGAGCAGGTTACTGATTTATATACTGACTTATACTTTATACTTATACTTTATATACTGACTTCTGAAAACATAAAGTTGTTACTTTCATGTTTTTATTATATTTTTTTTAAACATTTTTTACGAATCACTTTTGAATTTGTTTATGTACAAATTGTGTTATGTAATGAAATTGTATATCATTTAGATGACAGTGTAACCTGTAAAGGTTTTCTTTGTCTACAGGCAGTTTTGGATCTGGACCAGAGATGGATCGTCGCTCTGCTAATGTTCGGCATCACTTCCAGTCTTTACAGATTTTAAATGGTCATCTGTCCAGACAGGCCAGTGACACTGATCACATGGAAAAGTATGTTTCCAATTTTATTCCATGTTGAAAATATATTCACTGTATATAATCCATATCATTAACCACCTTCATATACAGGGCTGAAGAACCTCTGAATCATTTTTTGCTTATACTGAGCATGTAATAATAATGAATGTTTGACGTACTGGTCTTCTCTGCAGTTTGACTACTTTCTGTTTTAATCCCATTACTAAGTTCCCCCAAATTTCTGTATCATTAATGTAAAAAAAAAAAAAGTTGAGCACATCCTGAAACAGAAGGCTGAGATAAACTGAGTAATGAGGCAAAGTTTTGCGTTTTCATGACTCTGCAGTTTTGTGCTCATCTGCTTCCCTGACCTCTCGCTATAAAAATGTAATTTTATATATATATTTCCACTATTATTTGTATTACGACTTCTCATTATTCCCACCATTTCTTGGCTGTGGAAGGATAAAGTCGTGGGCGACTCTGGTGAAGACAGCCCGGAAACATGAGGTTTGGGATGTGTGTCGAGCTGCTTGTAGATTCTGTTTGCTTTACGATGATGGGAGGTGGCAGATGTCCCGGGCTGAAGGCGAGAACATTTCTAAAACTGATGGTAATATAAACTCAACTATTTGTTGTCTGAATTAATTTGTATGGCCGCTGTGTTAATAATGAAAACGGGAGGCTTAAGGACTCACGCTGCAAATCTGTCGATTTCTCCCAGACTGCAGCTGCTCACAGGACGAAGGCTGTGGAAAATGTCCTGGCTGTTTACCAGAAAACATCTGGAGGAAGTGTCTGCGCCTGTTGGCTGAAATCTACTTCATCAGTGCTGAGGTGTGTCTTACTGAGTTATCCAACAGGGAACATTAGATTTCATATTACAGACTTACACATTCACAGGCTACAGTGGAAGTTTACTTCACCGTTCGTGTGCCCGAGGTTATTTCTTTCAGTAATTAAATTGAAATTATTATACGGAGAGTGAGGGGGGAAGAAAAAAATCCAATTAAAATGCTAAACCTTTCCAGAACATAGAGACGTTATTTCAAAGAAACAATCCGTCACACATGCAGAGTGGTCGGACACATTCAGATCAGACACATTCAGCATTCATAACCATTACTGTTATGCAAACATGAATCAATAATTCAGCAGGCACAGACTACAACACAACAACAACAACAACAACAACAACAACAGTCCCGTGTTGGAAACTTATATTTGTAGCCGTGTTACGATGACAGTTCAGTCAAACTAATCCCTCACTTTTGACTGACTTGGGGAAGAACTACATTCTAGTAATCTAAACTCATGGAGTCTGATTAAATATAGTATGAAGCATAATATTGTATTGACAAATATACTTTGTGGTGCTAGGCTACCATCCAGCAGCTGTTTAAAGAAGGAGTTCAGCTGAACAGACCTGCCATCCCACCACGGACGATGAAAGGTCAAGAGTGTGACGAGGACCCACAGTGGGTCACATACAGGTACAGAGACAATACACACACACACGCACACACACACAAATCTACATTTAGATATACATGTTATATTTATTTATATATATTTACATATATGTATATATATTTGTGTGTATATACTGTATATACATGTATATATGTACATATATATATATGCACTGCTGTCTTTTGTATCTGTTCTTTTTTATATATATATATTTCATCCAGAGACTGGATTCAGGATTTGTCGGCCTACGTCACCTCCAGCTTCCTGCGGGCAGCCCAGCTTGGATTACAGATCAAGGAGCAGTGGCTGGTTGAAAACGCAGCCATTTACATGTGGAACTACAGTCGACACTCACTAGTGGCTGAGGATTTCCGACTCCTGCTTCCCTCATTTCAGTGTCTGGTGAAGATGCTGCGAGAGCTGCAGAACCCTGGGTACTGTCTGATCCACCTTTTTGTCGTCAGGAAGAAAGTTTTGATTGTTCACTCTCCTGTGACAACAACCTTGATTTGTTGTACTACTTACTTTATTTTTAAATTACTGTCTGGACTTTAAATCTCCAGGCACTTTCCCAAGCAATTTACAAAGTAGTAGTCTCTCCTCAGACATGCTCTTTCTATTGCCAAATAGAAAACAAATAGAAGCTGAATTTATCAATAAATTAATACTGTGCAGACCTTTCTGTTGGGGTCAAAAAACAAATTGACCCTTTTGCTTTCAAAAAAAAACTTTAACCCTTTGAAAAGTACAACTTTATTTCCTGCTTTATCCAGCAATCGCACCGTAGTCGTGCTGCTGTGCAACGCTGTGGCCAGGGGATTGATCCAGCCTGTGTGTGGAGCAGAAACTATTGAGCCGACCTTGACAGCAGAGAAGGGCAAGAACAGAGCTGAGAGGCCGACGGGAAAGACTGGGACTTCTCACGGGGTCTCCTCGGACGCTGCGGCTCCGCAGGACGTCCAAAAGGCGCTGGAGGTGGGACTGAGACCGTTCAAATATTTTCATTACTGTTCATGAACATCATTACTACGTAATGTGCATTTCTTTGACAACGTACTGTCAATCATCTGACCTGCCAGGTGTGTCAATCAGAGCCGTCCATCACCGTACAACTCACTGACTGCAGACTTCATTCTAAAGTTATTGGCTTGTCACTTTTTATCCAGCATCTCCATGCTTCATTCTGACTGCTGCTGTTAAAATATGGTGAATGTTTGACGGTCCCTTACCACTAAAAACAAATCAGCTATTCACACTGTTACAATCTTATAATTAATTCTGCAGAATCCCTACATGGGTTGATAATAAATTTCAACTTTTAAACCTTTAATTTAATTTTTCCTCTTACCATAAAACCCTGCTCTCACACCACTGGATGGACCCAACAACAGCTGGACGCCTCTAATCTGCTCATTAAAATACTTTGATTCAAAGTAACCGAGTGTCAACCTCAAATAAAAGCTCTGCATCAGTGAATTATTCACTCAATCTCTGACTTTCCTTTTCGATGACTCCATTAAAACCACCTCCTCCTCTGACCATGTTTAAAATGCACCGCTGTGAAATAGGGGTCAAACACTGGAGTGGTATTAGATTTGACGTGTCTTTGTGTTTCACTGTCATGTCCTCATGTGACAGGCTGACCAAAGGCCTCTGGCTGCAGTTGTTCCAGGGTCTTGACTTACAGTAGTCTCCATCACTGTTTTACATGTAAGAATAAAAGCCTTCAATTACCTCTGTACTTTAATATTTAACTCATGACAAAAAGAGACAAATGCACAAATTTAAAGTACAGCACAGCTTCTTTCTATTTCAATAATGTAACAATGTTAAATGTCATTATCTTTATCTGATTCACCTTCTTAGATTCGGTCACTTTTATTAATTTTAGAACATAGCCTAGATATGACCCTAGATGTGGGACAAAGGGTGTTGTCAAAGAGGACATGGAGATGTTGGTGTAAAAATTAGTGGAGGCGAGATGACCTGCGGTGACGACCCCTGAACAGAATATGGGTCTAAGCAGCAAATGTACCAACATTGATGTGTACTGTTGATTTTTAATGCCGTCGCTGCAAATTCACCTCCAGAGGGTGCATTCCGGTTTCATTGATAAAATTCTGGATTGGCTGACCACAGAGCAGATTTCCACTCCATTTGGTCCATGTCTATTGAGCGCTGACTCAGAGAAGTTAGTGCTGTGGCTTAAAGTGGCTTTAAACTGGGCATAAAGCACCAGGTCATTTACTGTATGTGCTGCAATTTTTGCTGCAGGCATTTTTTCACAGGTTTCTCCCATTTTTCTACATTTTTTTAAGATCTATAAGATACTGTTCCAGTCTGACCCCTGTTATTTTATCAACTTCTCAGCTGTGTGAATACGCCCTTCATATATCCAAGAGCAACAGCCCCGGAGAGATGGTTCCTATCGCAGCCAAGAAGCAGGTGTTGGCCACATGGGTGCAGATAAAGATGCTGCTGCAACAACAGATCCACACAAATGATGTCAAAGATGAGGTATTTTTCCCAGTGTTTCTTTTTCTTTTTACTACTCACTGAGTAGTCATTGAGAGGGTTTAAATCCTATATGACTCTTTCAAAACAAATATATTAATATATATTAATAATATATTAATATTTAATGTCAGGCCATGGTCAATTTACAATTTTAATTCATAAGCATGCTGTGTTTATGATGTAATAGAACTCTTGTTGCTCTAGGTGTTACTTTCACATCAGTCTCATGACAGTATTTCAACCGCCGGCCTGTGATCCCCCCATGATAAATTCCCTGACTCTGCTGAGAGGAAGCACTTACACAATTTGTCAGTTAAATGTACTGTTTGATTAGTTGCCATAATCCCAATGACTATTAGTCAGCCATGAATTTCCTGCCCTACATTAGTCGCTCAGCCTAATGAGCTTTGAGTCACGACTAAATGAGGTTTGTTTTTGTTTTGTTTTTCGCTGCGCAGATTGAGAAATGCAGCTGCTACTGTATAGACTAGATGTGGCCATAAATAAATCATCCGCTGCTAGCTCCGCAATATTTGGGACACGTATCAAACAACAGGTCCATGTTTAATTTATTAAAAAGTACTAATATGCATGAACACATTTTCCATAATTAAAGTTAAGGGAGTTCATAATTGAACACAGCTGAATGGTGCAGCGCGCTGAAATGTTCACTATCCATTATTCCCTCTCCCGTTTGCAGAACGAGGACATGTCAGCGCTGATGCACGTACTGGTTGGAGTGGAGATGCTCCAGTGCAATAAGAACCCCAGGCGTATGGAGTTCACTGTCCCCAGTCTCTGCACAGTATGTGTTTCTCTGCTTCTGCTTTCTTCCTGTGGCTGATGACCACAGGCTAACTGCAGACGCTCAGCTGACTCGTTAGCCTGCGCAGCCTGTTTGAATCTCATCATGTGTCCACGTCAGCTGCATTCCCCCTCCTTTTCCTTTCCATTATGTTTCTACCCTCGGGGACACATCCCACCTGCTCTTTGAAATAATTCAAAAGTCCATTCATTAATTAAGTTTAATGAGTTTACTCCAACAGGTGACGAGCAATGTTTCCAAATTAAATAAAAATCCAGAATGGACACACCGCTCCCACCACACAGCTGTACAGTCCGATGGATTTTTTCAGTAAATCAATAAATTATCAATAGTCACTGCAGACTGTATGACTGCAGTGACTGTGAGAATCAGCAGTCCCCTGTAGAACAGCGGTCTATCACCTAAGACAGGGGTGTCAAACTCAATTTCACAGTGAGCCAAAATTAAAAACTGGGACAAATTCATTATTTGAAAATGTTCATGTTTTCCCTTCTCTCCACATATTTAATGTTTAATTTTTTCATGTGGAAACAAATGTAAACATTCAATCTGGAACAACCAAAACTTAATATTATAAACACATGAGAAATTCAATTTGAAATAATACACCATAATCAGTAGTATTCATTTCTTATATCTCACTATCTGTAGCCCTTTTAATGTATTTTTTACAGGCCAACAACAAAATAACCCAAACGTACTATAATACAGCAAATACACCGTTAATACTACAAATCCAGCCATGTATGCAGCGGCTATATACTGTCAGGTCAGCTCTAATACACATTTGATATGATCTTCCAGGCCAAGTATAATTACACCAGGGCCCAGATTTGGCCCACGGGCCTGAGTTTGACACCTGTGACCTCAGAGGTCCACTAAGGTACTGCAGATGGTTCGTGAAATACTTGATGTATTATGTTTTTTTTTATTTATATATTACCCAAAAAGACACTCAGTTAAAGGCTTCTGGTCACTTCATTTGACTGATTTTTTTAATTTCACAATTTTAAAGGACACTTTTGAACAAGTCTTACTTCTGAGGACTGAGGTTTTTTTTTTATTTATATATTACCCAAAAAGACACTCAGTTAAAGGCTTCTGGTCACTTCATTTGACTGACCCATTTTTTTAAATTTCACAATTTTAAAGGACACTTTTGAACAAGTCTTACTTCAAATCTTTTAACTGAGGACCCTCTCCTCTCCTCTTTTCCCACACCTTCATTTTACATGTTGCTGCTCTCTCATGCCTTCCCTCGGTCCTAAATCGATTTCCTTCGTCTCCCCTCTTCAACTCAAGCTTGTGACCACGGCATCACAAGTGAACTGGACAGACTCTGTGACAGAGTTGCAGGTGTGGTGCCAGCTGGCTGCCTTCTGTCTCTCTGCCCAGGACCACAGTCTGGTCTTACGCTGCACAGAGAAGGCTCTGCATCTGGGAGAAGCAGCAGCAAAGAGTACTGACACCACACTGTGTCTGTTGTAAGTTGAATTAAATGAAGACACCTTGTTTAAACATTGTTGAATTTTACTGAGGAAATGTAGGAAGAGGACAAGTGCGTATGTCGGTGTGAAGGTAAAGCAAAGAGGCTGACATCTAGTGCTTTTTTATAATATTGCAGTTGTGAGTTAAGAGTTAAACGTAACTGAACTGCTGTCATCATAGCAACGACCTTAAGGCGGTGAATGAGATGCTGAGCTCCGTTTCCTCTATGAGGGGTTTAGGCCTGGCCCATGTGTCCAGTGGTGACGTGGACATTTACAGGGAAGCTCTGGAGATGTTTTCATCCAGTGTCAGGTACTGTTCACAAATTCACATCTTTTATTGTCCTTAAAAAAATATATAGCTTCTACTAATTAATGCTCCTCTTCACAGCTATGCAGAAAAGGCTGATAATGTAAAAATGTGCATCACGGCTGCCAAACACTACTGGAACACCTGTCTGCCTTTGGCTCGGAATCCTGGGGAAAGATCAAAAGTCCGAGATCATCTGGAGAAAATCCTCGGTGCTCTGTCACACACCGGTGCCAAACATGTGAGGGCACCACTCCTTTCACATTAAAATATGTATACATAACTGCACATGCAGTGTATATATGTGCATGTATATATACTGTATGTAAAGTAGGCAAGACTAGATCTTACTGACAATCCTGAAGGAACCATAGATTGGAGGTTTTACCAAATGTTTTTCTACGTAAGAATCAGTTTCATCGAGTTGCTGTCAAACTGTATTAAATGTATTCATATTCATAGTATTTATATTTGAAGTGTGCTGTTGCTGTTTATCGACGGGAGGATCGATTGCCTTTCTTGTTAAGAATGCCTCGGGGCAGATATACTCTGCACTCTACTGTGTGAAAATGCAACCGCAGCATTTTTAAACACCACAGGGGAAACCAGATGGATTTATACAAAAACAAAGAATTAAAAAAATAATAACAAACTCAACAGTCTGTGTGATGGGACTCTCAGTGCACTACAGATGAAGTTAAAAGTTTTTGTTCTATAAACATTGCTGCCCTGATGACCTTCCCTTAGCAAATAACAGTGGATGTAGAGTCAGGTCATAACCTGACCTACAGGTCAAACAATAATATACAGTGGATAAACAAGCGATTAGTGCATCAACTAATGTCCAATTAAGTGTTTGTTTTTAAGCTGAACTAGAGCTTTAAATGGTTGTTTTTTTATCCTTTATTCCAGAAAAAGGTCCAAACAAAAGGCTTCCTGACGCTGAGAGCGATACATACTGAGAATAAACAGGAAGCAACAGGTGAGGTGAAAATATGCATTTACATAATGGACAATGACAGATTGTATCTATTTAATATATTTTTATTGCGTTCTGTGCAAAGCATGGAACTCTAGAAGTATTTCTGATTCATTGAATTTAGATTTTAATTGGACCAAAATACTTGTCTGTACCATGTAAATGTGACCTTTTTGTCTGTGTTTGCATTGCGTACCAAGATGAGGAGGAGCTCAGTGTACGGGCAGCCATTTATAGAATGTTGCTGTGTATCCATGTGGATAAAACTGATCGGAAAAGTGCTCTGCAGTTGTTGGACAGAGCAGGTCGTGAGTTGAATTCCTCTTCACATACGCTGTAAGCAAAATAATTGATTTAAGTGAAATTATTTAATTGAATTATTGAAATGGAGACATATAAACTTGATATGTAATTTTCCCTCTGTGTGTGTGTCATTAGTGATCAGCTGAAACTTTCTATCAGACTGAAAGCTCGACTAGGAGAAAGTGTACAGGCGGACATGCAGAAACTTCAGAAATATGGAGAGCAGTGCAGTTCATTCATGTGGCGTCAGGTGGCGTTGTACGCAAAAAGCACAGCCCAGCAGCTCTATTGCTACCACCAGTCCGTCACATCTCTGCAGGTAACAACATCTTTCGTTAAATGTTTAGATGAAATATGTTGAAATCTCAAGGGTAAGGAACTTTCGGTAAATGTACATCATGTACATGTTTCTATTATCACATGCTGAGTAAAGAAAGAACATAAGTGTTGACCTCCATCTTGTGGCGCCACTGTGTTATTACATTCTTTTATTTATTTATTTAAATGGTCCACAAATGCTGTGACACCTTCTAAAAATGAAACTAGATCATGTTTTTTTTTTTCTGGCTTATGCAAATATTTAATTTGTGATGCAGAGCCCAGAGACTCAGTGGCAGAAGGCCAACGTTCTCCTAGAGTTTGGCGAGTGGCTGTACCGTCACAACTTTTCCAAATCAAGTGCCCAACAACAGGTTCAGTGGGCGATAGACATCGTGCTACAGCAGGAGCCTGAGACGAGAGAAGCTGCAGGTACGACTGACTGAGTCCTCAAGAACGTACAGGTCTGGAGCACAGTTACATTTGAATCATCAAGTGTTGTTTTTTCCAATTTCCAATTCTTTTTTGATACCCTGCGCATACTGTATATTTTATTACAACAAAAGTAATGAAACATAATTGTAATTTAGTCATTATGAAACTTGGGCCTGTTTAGTTGAATACAACAAGGATATACACATAGGAATTGAAGAAAGATACATTAAGAGAATGTACATTTCTAAAACATACGTTTCATCTTTCTTGTCTAGAGGAGGAATCTGAAAAGATGGGTTCAAGTGCGGTGGAACATCAGTGTCTGTTCGGAGTCCAGGGGTCGATGAAGCAGAATCTTTTCAGTGTGAAGCATGTGCAACATCTGGACTTTTTAGTTCAGGCACACACTGTGCTTGCTGTGATGGCAGACAGAGCGTCACCAGAGCACCAGCTTTACCTGCTCACAGCCGCCACATTTGTCCTTCAAATATGGCAGGTCAGTGATGCAGCAAACATTTTGAGTTTTGTAAAAGGGAGGTTTGAATTAAATGATAGTGGTAAATTTGAGCCACTGCATTGTGTTCTGACACAGGTGTCTATAGATGCAAGTTTTGGACTCTACAGTGAAATGTCAAGGAGTCGTCTGCTCAAACCTCCGCTCTCTGCTGGATCCAAGAAGGGAAAAGACAAGACTAAGAACAGGAAAGACGCAAAAGTAGTAAGTCTGGAAAATGTTCCATTTTAAAAGGCATTTGAATTCAAACACTGACTGGTCAGATGTTATCAACTCTGTCCTCACCAGACAACGCCTGCAGAAGAACGGCCTAAAACTGACACCCTGGACTGGGTGTTTCCCACCTGCACAAAGGACTGGGCTTGTTTCACCTGTCCTGACTGGGCCAGAGAACTGATCCGAACCAGCAGTGACTCCCAGTGCATCAATAAACACACCATCAACACACAGGTGACCCCTCCCTAACGTTCAAACACATCATCAAATATATAGTTTTCATTGGTAGAATTTTCTTTCATTTCTCCTGTGTTTCCTGTTTGACTGTAGCACCAGAGTATATTTTATCTAAATTTGCTGGAAAAGGAGCTGCACTCACTCTCACTGTATCACCTCACCCTACCCACAATGCATCTGGCTGAAACCATTGCACACGATTTGCTGGACAAGAGGAGCCTGGCTGATTTCTACAGACTAAAGTAAACACATCAGGAAGACATGTCAAATGGTTTCCCAGACAGAGATGTTCATTTTTTGTAATTGCACGAGTTTGAAAGATAAAGTTACTAACAACAAACTGAATTGCCAAACATACTGTCAGCCATTTTCTTTTTCAGAGCACACACATTACTGTACAACAGAAATTTACTACAGAAACTGACCAGTTGCTGACATATAAACTCATCTGTTCTTATGTTTACCTTCGTACTTTACTGTTCTGTTCATTCGTCCTATTTAGAATCCTGGGGACATGCTCACAGTTGGGTTTGGAGACATCGTCCCCATATCACAAGACACTCCTCAGTTTGTGCAGAAACCAGGAACCAGAACTAATGCAGTATGTCTCTGTGTTCATGACAGATATCAAAATATATGCAGTTCTAGAAATCGTTTGCTTTCAACCAATAAGTAAATCATTTCCACAGGTGCCACAAAGTCATTGCTCTGTCACAGGAGGGCAGACTTCTCAACAAACCTTATAATGAGGTCTGTATAAAGTGCACGCAGTAAAACAGTTCAGTTAACTCAGTTCTTTTGTAATCATTTCTTTTCCTATATTTAGAAAGCCGAGCAGTTTGACCACATTGAACCCTGGCAACAGAATATTCACATCTGGTTGGACAAAGCTGAGCTCTGTCTCAGTATGGGGCTGTACCAAGCTGCCCGGCAGCTCATGGCAGACGCTCACACAGTGGCAAAGGTGCGTGTTACAGTGTGATGGTACAACAGAATGTCGCAACATGAGATTGAATTATCTCCTGCCAAATGGTCCCTGCTAATCTGACAAGGACTTTCTGTTAGATATATAATAGAAAGCTGTTGTAAATCTACCAGTAATTCTCCACCAAAAAATGTTTTCTTCTTCTTCCTCTTTAGAAACTTGCAGTTCCAAAAGCAATGGCTAAAAGTTTGCTCAGTTTTGCTGATTTAGCCTGTAAGGAGCAGAACCATGCTGAGGCTCTGATCCTGCTTGAAAAAGCCCAAACCTTTGGCGGTGATGAACAGTTCTGGTATCACTTCAGTCTCACTAAGGTCAGAGCTGTAGTAGGCCAGAAAGACGAAGATGCACAAAACAGGGTATGGAGCCTTTACTTCCTTTTTTAAAGGGCAGTTTACTTGTATTTTAGTGAAGTCTTTTAAATTGATTTGGTCCCCCCCCCCCCCCCCCCCCCCCCCCCCGCCCCACCCCCCCCCCCCTCCACAGGCTGATCACATAATAAAACAAGGCTGCGAGGCTCTAAAGCTGGTGATGGAGCAGCAGGAAAACAGAGCCCCAGAGCTCACGTCCATGATCACATTATTAAAACTCAGGTGATTGTGTATCTGTGTGTGTGTCTGTGCGTGTGTGTTGAATCCATGGTACAATATAGTCATTTTTAATGCTAGAAGGGCTAGCTCCACCTAGCCTTTTTGATGAAACACCACATACTATGGCAGAAACACGCTAACCTAGCCTGTCAGTGTGCTAGTCTTATTGAACTCTGTTGAGAATAACTGCACATGGAAAGAAAACTAGCTGAAGTAAATGTTTAAATAACCTGAATGTAACCCATTTTCCTCTGCTGCAGAGGAGCTGTTGAATGTCTCTGTGTCATTGGTGAGGCTCAACCTGGAGAGACCGTCTCCCCCCAGACCGTCCAGAGGCTCATGGTTCTTTATAATACACTCAGAGATTGTGGCCGTACTTTCACTGAACTCTGCTACAAACAAAAGGCAGTAGAAGCACACGAGAAGTCAACACAGTGTGTAAGGTTAGTCGACCAGAAATGATACCATGGCCATCAGCAAGTACAAATTATGTTTCATAAATAAAATGCATTTCTTCAGGCATTTCTTGGTGTAAATTTAAAATTAATTTCCTGTTATGATCTCTCCCGCTTTTACCAGAATGTTGGTAAAATGTTTAGTTGATGAAAAAAAGAAGAAGCTCCTCCTGCTCGATGGCCTCTCCCAGATGCAGCAGGCTGTTACACTGCAGGAGCAGGTGGCGCTGAATGCTCAGAGCCTGGCCATTCAACAGGAGGAGGTAAATGGAGTCTGTTGAAGTGTCTAGTTTTCCATCTTTCAATATGGGGCAAAGTATTACATAGTTCTCATAATGATTTCAACATTTAGTCTGACTAAGCCCCTTCCTGGAGCCCCTGTTGACACGTCGGCTCCTTAAGTCTAATTCAAAATAAATACTTCAGGTTTAATTCTAATTTAGAGACCTTTGTTTGTTTGTTTTTATTTGCAATTAAACTCAGCATTTTCTGTTCTATTAAAATGACACTGGACTCAAACAGATGAGGTTACGTAGATGTCACAGAGGAAGACTAATGTATTTATTTACTTAATTATGAAGTCACGTACAAAGGTTTAATTCATTTTTACTGAATATTGATGTTTGAAATCACCTGAACTGGCTAGACTATTACAGTGCAATGCCAGCAGGTGGTGCTGCTACCTTAGTAATGTCGGGTATTCTGGCTGCACCTTAAACAGAATCTTAAACCTCGGTTGGCTTCATGTATCGAGATGTATCAGGATAATACAGTTTTAACTTATAACAATAAGGGCCTAAATATTTCATCACAAACACCTGCAGAAAACTGCATTATATCAAACTTGTGAGACCATTTGATGCATTTTCATTAATACTGGATTTCAAATGTATATGACACATTATTTAAAACACTATAGTTTTATAAAATGATTCACTTCATGATGCAAGAATCTACATCAACAACAGTTGTAAATATCTTCCTTTACCTTTTCGTGCCAGACCTGTGGAATGTCAGCTTTGCACAGGCTGCAGCACTTGCGGCTGACCCTGGCCGAGTTGAGTCTGACTGTGCTGGAGGAACACTGTTCTGAGGTGAAGAGCCAAGCGCTGTCCCGTGAGAGTAAGACCTCCGCAGAGCTGGCACTGGAGGAGTTTACACGTTCCACACCTGAGCCAGGCTCCTTAGAACAGGTGAGAGTGCACTTGCTGTATGAGTTTGGTCAAATCTCTAGTTATGGTTTTTCAACATAGTACTATCATATTCATCTCATACAGTAAGGAAATACACATATATTATTGCATGTAATATGATTGTATTACTGTACCCAGATAAAAGATTCAAAATGATCTTATTAGCTGCTAATAATTACAGTATTTCATGGATATATATATATACATTTACATACAGTATATGTTTATACATACATATGCAGGATTAGTTTTAATGGCCAGTCTTCAAAGACGACTGGTTGTTTGTCTTAAGGTGTGGACCTATGATGGACAGCTGAACTGAGCTCCACAGTAATGCACCTTTGACCCCTGGCCGCTCCTGCAACCCCGAATAGGATTAAGCCTGAGGAAAAGCACAGATGAAAAAAGGAAAATTTTACTTCTAACTCTGCAGAGGGTAAACAAGGTGGTAAACAAATCAAAAATTCATATTTGATCTGATGTGTCCGAACAAAAATTGCTTCTTAAATAAGATCCAGTTGTTCAGAACAGAATAACTGGATGTTTTATTGTGTGTAATAAAATGTTACCACTAAAACAACACATCAGCACATCTCCCCTCACTCAGGATGCTGTACTTCTCACAGGCTGAGCTTTGATATGATATATATGTCAATCATGAAACAGTAACCTTTTCCCAAAATGTCATTAAAAAGTTTTGAGAGAACAGGTCCCTGGTTGGGAACATTCTGAAAGTTCATTTGTCAGTTATGTTGGTGATAGCTGTGACCTTTTTGTGAGTCACGGTCTTTTTTTTTTGGCAAATATCGACAGATGAAAAACAATTCCTCAATTTATGGGGTGACGTCTTTTTTTGGTAAATCTGGACGGAGAATCACAGCATGTGATCGTAAAGTATCTTAAAGGATATGAAAATAAGTCCTCTGTGGAATGACCTTAATGTCCTGCAGGAGACGGGTATGTGTCAAACACACCTTCAGTTAATGTTGTTGAGAAGGAGAAGATTTAATTTGGTGATGCCTTCATAAAACGGCAGCCACTGTGTTATTGAGTATAGGATTCAATGATGCGATCACTAAGGGATCACTAAATAATCACCCTGACACTCAAAGGTCAACTCTGCCTCAGTCACTGCTTCAGCTTAAATCTCCTTTTCCGTAGAAGCCCACCTGCCTGTGGCCAAAAAGATGGGGCTTATAATTGAATGATCGCTGGTTTGCAGGGGACAGATTTGGTTGAGTATGTGAATATGACAAATAAAACATCCTGTCAATTCTCATCCTCCTTTAGGTACAAATTATGCATTTCCTCTCGTTAAGGACACTTGTGGAAGGAGCACGGTGTCAACGCTCGCTCTCCTCGGCAGCCCGACTGGCCCTGCCGATATTAATGACGGGACAAATAAGAAGTGAGAGAATTAAAGGCAGATGAAGGATAAGGAGTTTATCCAGATGAAGACAAATGAGTAGCTGCTGCTGGCAGAACACTCTGTTCTCTAAGCTCTTGTTTCTGGGTCAGAATTTAAATTCTCTGGCAATTTTTCATGGGTAATGAGAACTGCTATTACTACAACAATCCCCACGGAGCAGCTTTGAAGAACACATTTTTGCAATCAGTGTCCTCGAATACTGAGTACAGGGTTATGTTTTTTATCTTAAAAACAGTGCGAGTTTAGGTTTATTCATTAAAATTATTCATTTTCTCTAGCACCTCTGTGGTCAAGTCAAGCCGGTTTCTTCATATACGTACGTAAATACACATTTGTCTTTGCCGACGTCACATATTTAAATAAAGATTGAGGTAAACTTAAATATCCTCCCATTTAACTGGAGGTGTATTCAGTCAAGCTGTAAATTGAGTTTAAGTAAAAAAAAACAGACTAAAGCAGGATAAAAGTTACACACTGAGTAAGCCTTTTATAGCAACAGTGGGGAGAAAAAAACTCCCTTTGGGAAGAAAATATGGGAGACAGCAGAGAAGGAAGAAAAGAGGGGATGAAGAAAGAGGGAACAGGAGTAGGTATAATACTATGGGCACCTGTGCAGCTCATTTACTTCCTAATAGAGATGAAATGGTGAGGGGAGACTCTCGCTCTAGATGAGGGGAGAGGGCAGCACAGAGCCTAGAACCACTGCTTTATTTATTTATGCTCAACCTGACAGGACACAGCACATCAGAGCTGTAAATAGAACTGCAGACCCATATAGGACACAGAGACAGGAGAGAAAATAATAGGTCCAAAATCCATTCATCCACCACAAATCATGTCCAGGGTCATGGGGTCAGCTGTGCATATCCTTAAATTTAAATAGTTTTGGGTAACACACACACATACACACACGTCAAAACAACTTAGTCCATCACTGCTGATGACATCCTTGTATGGCCGGTGGTGTTAGACAGAAAGATAGATCGATGTACTGTATTGATCCCAGGCTGGGACACTGCAGCATGTGCAGATGTGAAGGATGTCTTAGTCCTAAACTCAAGCTCAGAATTGAGGATGCGTTTGCTGCTGTGTACTGCATATACAGTATTATATATATAGAATTACTGTGAATGAACTATGCCTTAGCTGTTTGCACAGTAAATTACACATTAACCGAAATAACTAATGGCAAAAGTATGCAGGAGCACACAGTACTCTGCCTGACTTTTACGTGGGTGTGTACTTTTTGTGTTCATGCGTGTGCACTGAGCATAAATGTCTCTGGAATATTAAATATTACGCCGCATGGATGGGCCTTGTTTGCACAGCATTAAAAATGGGAATTTGATATTTACTTGCAAGAACCAATATCACTCAGAAGCACACTCCACAGACCTGGCTGTGACCTGCCTGGAGTTTCATCTCTCTTCCTGAGGATTTATTAGATCATTTGATTTAATTGCAACAGGAGACTGCAAGGACACCAGCGACGATCACTGCCTGCTGCAGGATCCACTTAAAAATCTCTTATTAAAAGTAAGTTAAAGAACTTTACTGCATAAAGAAATACTTGTTTTTATTTTATATTGAAGACCACAGTTGTTGTAATTAAAACTGACACCTCTTCCTCTGATCAACCTGTCATTCACCTTTTCACCAAAAGAACAGATGACGATCTCTGGTCCTAAAAGTGAGGCAGTGTAAGCAGATCAGAAGTGCTTTTCTAATTGTATGCTTTAGTCCCTAGAGGCTCTCCTTTTAATAAGACAATTTTTCATAATGTTTTCTTTCCACTGTTCCCTTCAGGGGTGACAGACGATCATCTGCCTCTATTTCACTCCGTCCCCTGACTCCTCTACTGTTACACCAACAATCCTCATGTCCTCCTTAACCACATCCATAAGTCTTCTCTGGGAACGTTTTCCTCCTGCCTGTCAGCTCCATCATCAACAGCCTCTGTTCAGCATATGCACTGTCTCTAGTCAGTAAATCAATAAACATGTTTACAGTCCAGACACTGACCAGACTGTGGTCCAGCACAATCAGCTTTCTGTCTCTTGTCTAAATGTCTGTTTGTTTCCTCTCACTTATTACAGAAAATATTCCTTTCAGCTCTCCATGTTAGGTCAACTTTCTCATTGGTCATTGGCTTTGGTTTCCTTCTGTTTTCCTTGTGATGACATCACCACTGCCGTTGGACCCCCTGGTGCCTCATCCTCCAGAACATCATATACCATCTGCTCTTAATCCATCTTTTTTTTCCTTCATAATTTAAAAATCTACCTGCTCAGAGTCTCTGTATGGGTCTAACCTGCCCACACTGATTCCACCAATCCTGAACAAACAGACTCATTTAGTTTGAAATGACCAGTGTAATAAAGCAGACTTTACCATAAGCCCATGAGCCTCCGCCTCTCAGCCACTGTTCATGGCTTTAAAATCTCAAATCAAATCAGTTACAGGTCACGAACTGCAACAGTTTGAATTCCAGGCCACCGTGCACATTGATGACAGGATAAAGCAGAGGTTTGGTGAGAACAGAAGCAGAGTGCCCGTTGGGCTGGTACTGTACTGTACATGCTGTCATAGAAAACTACAGCAGTGCAACTGTAGGTGTGACAACATAAAACATAAAACGCAATGTTTTCACACAGTGACAGGCAGAAGTATTTGAGTCCATTGACTCTAAAATGACTCTTGTGTCATTGCATTCAAATTTTAATCTGCTCAATCTTCACCACTAACTTAACATGTTGATTTTTACAGCCTGAATAAAATATATTATATGAGTATTTAATTAGCTAGGATTCACAATTATGGCATTTGTGTAACCACTGGCCTCTGTATTAGTCCTGCTCGTCTAATTCCATCACACTGCACAACACAGGCTGCTCTATTCTATAATATCCTGTTCTATTCCCTCCTCAAAAGTGATCTCAGTTAGCTGTTAGCCTCCAGCGCAGCCTGCTCACGCCTCATTACAACCACCAGGCCCACAGGCTCCCAGATGTGTATTTGCTGTGTAACTGTGGTGATGTGTGAAGCATCACAGACACTTGTGTCACATCTGTTGCTCTGCTCCAGGTGTAATACGGCTCATCAATCACATTTATCACCTGAATCATCTATTGACATGCAGTAGTGTTGGTCAGAGCAGCCTTTATCTAAAGCCCTCCACCACAGCCTTCAGCCAGAGCACTTCGACACCAGGACGTACTGCACTTCATTCAGGTAAAAAGTGCTTCTGCCGTTTGTTTCTCTATAAATACTACAAGATGAACCAAGGTCTCGACATTGTATGCTACACTTTTTTCGGTGACACTTGCATTGAATGCGTACATAATGAAAGTCAGGAAACAAAGGTCAACAGTAATACTTCTCCTTTTTGTGCCTACAGAAAAGAATAACCTTGTATCCTCAAACCACAAACCATGTTTGTAGGGTAAGGATACAAGGTTATCCTTTTCTGCATACCTGCTTTACATTCAAACAATGCTACGATATACGGTGCAGGTAACGCTCAGAAGCTGTGGCTCGTTCCTTCCTCCCAGGAGTGTCTGGTGATTCACCGCAGGAGAGCTGTCATCATGATACAAGAGTCAGTCCAACTCCTGTGGCCTCATGAAGCCAGTGAGCTGAAGGAACACAGCCTTTTATTCATCAGTCAGGCAGCAGTCTGAGGAGCTTAACTCTGCACGGACCAAAGTCCCACAATTTCCCAGACATAAAACCCAAATATAGCCACTGATAATAACTGGCCTGGTCTTGGCTGCTTGTATAACTACAAAAAAAGAAAAGCAGGAAGACTTCATACCACAGTTACTGGTGGTATATACTGTATGTTAGCATCTAATATCTGTAGGAATCGTTATGGGTTTTTTCGTCCAATAATGAAAACCCGGAGGATATGTCTATATTAACAAGGTGATAATTAGATGGGATATTTTTAGTGATGCAAAAAAGACAGCTTGTATTCTTCCGTAGCAGGTTTTGTCTTCAGCT